CTGTGTTGCAGATAAATTGTTTACAGCCTGTCTCTAGAGACAAGTGAAGAAGTTTCTCCTATCCCAATTTCCTTGTAAATGATATAATTATCAGAATCATCACAGTGAAAACAAAAGTCTACTGGATCACAGAGACATGAGGTTTGAATTTAATGTTTCTGGGGCTTCTACTTTCAAAAAATGCCTCTTCAAGAAGAACTGCAGCCCACTGTGCAGAGACGATAAGGATTAAAAATGATTCCACAGCTCTGGCTTTTGTTTCCACTCAGAGCTGGGACATTGTTTGCTCCTGTTCCTTACAACACCTTCATCACCATCATCTGACAAAAACCTTATCACCAGCTCTTGTGCTGATAGTCCTGCAGCAGTGATTTCTGCTCCTGCCATGGCTCCAGCCCCTCTCTGAGTTTGCTTACTGCTCACATTCCAGTGCTAATTTCCTCAGTGACCATTAACTTCCAGAGCACAACATTCAGGATAAAATTGCAGGCATGGCTGGTGGTTTCTGGGTGAGAATGTGCCCATATCTGTTACCCCTCAGCAGCTCTCAACATCATCATGGGTACATGTGCTTCTTGCTCCTGGCAGCTCCGAGGGTGCTGGCTGTGATGAGCAGCTCCAAGGAAGAGCTGGGAGCCAGATCTCAGCTGTCTTCAGCTCACATTGATTTCTAGATTCCTACAGACATCCCACAGAGGCTTGATAGCTAGGAAATTTATGTTTAATGTGTTACTCTTGCTTTTCTCATCTGCCTTTTGGCACCTGCCTCAGTGCACAGACTGAAAGTGTTTGGAGAGTCTCTCTGTTTCTCTAATCTTGTCAGAGGAGGGCCTGTGTCTCAGGATGGGCTATCCCACCTCTGGGCTTATTTCCCCTTTGCTCTGCAACACTTTTTAACAGGTGACAAACTTTTGGCATCCCGTGCCAGCCTCCTGTGGTGGCCGTGTTTCCCCGTCTGTGCCATGGCTCCCGTGACGGCAGCATTGCTCTGATGACAAAGGAGCCAAGTACAGGCAAGAGAACCTCCTCAATTCCCTGCTTTCTGCACATTCAAATGGGAATTTACAGGGAACAAAAGTCAACCAGGAGCTGGCACAGCCAGAATCTGGGCTCCTGACTCTCTGCACCCTTTTCCTGTGTGTTTCAGAGCAGAACGTGGAGCAGAGGATTTGCCTTGTTCATGCTTTGCTCTGGGTTTTGTTTTTTGGGTGAAGGACTAACCTCACATTGAGTGCTCCCAAGCGAGGTGGTGGGGAGCAGGTGCTTAGGATCTTCTGCAGGCAGGTTCCAAATACTCACTGGATATTACCTGTCAGTTCAAGTTACTGGAACTGCTCAGCACAAACTGCAGCTCAGGACATTGACAACAGCTGTTACCACTGTAGGGATTCCTTTCCCAGCAAGGATGAAAGCATTTACATCAGCTCACAGAGTTGTTTTTTGCTTTAAAATGACCCAAAAGATAGATTTAAAGTGAAGGAAGGAAAAAAAAAAAACAACCAAACAGCCTGGAGGGAACTTTGCTATTCCACAGGAATATTGGAGCATGGTTTACTTTTGTGCTTTCCTGGGGCCTTGCTCCATCTGTATTTGCTTTTTACTCTTCTTTGCTCAGTCATGGAAATGGACATCTTGATTAAAGCTGTTCTTCCAGTGAGGAGGCAGAATGTAGCATCATTTAATCTGAGACTTCTAATGAATGTCTCAAAGCAAAAAAAAAAAAAAAAAAAAAAAGAAAAAAAAAATTCATCATGCATTAACTATTAGAATAAAGAATTTATTTTGGTTATTGCTTATTGAGGGGGTTCACCATGCTGGTTTTATATTTGTCTCTACCTAGTTTCCAAAGGGGTTCCAAAGCTGGGTTTGCTTTCAGACTGTAACCTTGTGAATGGAGAAAGGATGCAAAGTTGAAGTGCCCTAAGCTCCACTCTGAGCCTCCAGCTGGGAGCTTTACTTTAGAGGGCAGAATAAAAATAAGCAAACATTGGGCTCAGTAAAACAACACAATTAAGGAATTGGCAACTGAGATCTCGAGCTTTTTATGGTATCTTTTCCATTCTTGCCATTTACTCTTTATTTGCCAGTGGAAAGCAGGCAGGAAGTCCAGGGGGGAATGAGCACTGCTGGGAGCCAGCATTTGCTCAGGTTAGAGAAGAAGTTGTCCTCAGCCCAGCCCTCAGCCAGGCAGGTCTGGCAGTCCTGTGCCAGCCCCAGCAAGGGCTGCAGGGCAGATGAGCCCTGAGACCCAACAAGCAAAGTTAAAACATCCAGAGCCTGGTCACTGCCAACCCAGGTGAGGTTTGGGACAACATGGGCACGACAGCAAATGCAGGAGCATGTCCCAGGTACCAGAACTGGCCTTGCACCTTTGGTCTCCCCCACAAATTGTCATTTGTCCCCATTGCAAACAGCAGACTCCACTGTTCTTCCCATGGGAACATCCCACATTCCCTTTCTCGTTCACTCATTTTTTTTTCCTTCCCACCCTTCAAAGAAGCAGTGTTTATTTGGCTTGAGCTTGTGAGCAGAGCTTGGATGGGTTTATGAGCTCTATGCCTGAACCCACAGACAATTACAAACATGGCTGGCTGCCTGGCTTTGTTAATTAGCTACCAGCAATGCTTCATTTTTCCCTCTGTGGTTCCCTCCTGAATTAGGGCACTGCTCATTAGTTCTCTTCCTCTTTGGGATGCCACAGTTGAACATTATGGCATCCAGATATGCCAGGGAGCTGAGAGTACAAGCTTGATTTGTTTGGACAATAAAATATAATAGTTACATTTAGATAATTAAACAAAATAACGGCAAAACTATTTTGTATTGTTTCAATCTGTCCTTCCCTGTCCCAGTGCTCCATTTGCTTGTTTCCTGATCTGCTGGAAAAAAAGACTGGAGTAAGTGTCCTCAATCATTTCTTGGTTTTGCTTTGAAATATTAAATTTCTCTTCTTCTAAATCTGGTTTGGTCTAGTGGGTGTCAGTTGATGGGACAACACCCTGGCACTGATGATGTGCAGCAAATCAGCACGTGTCAGTTTGGGCTCAATTCAACCAGAAACAGCACTTCCAGAAACTTAATGCTTATTTAGTAATTTAACACAAAATAACAGCTGTAGCAACCAGGGTGGTAAAATAATGTTTTATTCCATGAATGAACAAACACTACCATGCCACATCCTAAAGTTCTTTCTACAAAAAGATTGTGGACAGAGCAGATTTTTATGTTTCTCAGTTCAAGTTCATTTCAGGCTCTCGAGCCTGTTCAGCGTAGCAAAATCTGGACACGCAGCATTCTCATGGTCTATTTGGCTTTTTGCCAGATAAAGCAGATTTACACTGTAGTTCTTGTTCACACAATGTCGATGCACTGTAAATTAAAGGAGATAATCCCAACCAAACTAGGTAATTCCTGTGGTTTATCAATATATTTTTTCATGATGGTCAAAGTACAACCAACATTCAAAGCTTAAAATAAAGGTAAGAAAAAAGACACACTAAAGAACACAATGGAAACATCATCATTGCTGTCAGGATGTGAGTTTACCCACAGTATACTATGTAAAAAGTAGGAACTGGCATTGACATTCAAGCTGTTAAAACAAGAAAAGAAATGACATTAATTGTTATATTTCCAAGCTAGTGCTTCTAAGGAGTCCTGACCAGCAAAGAAGTGTTCCCGCATGCATGTCGAACACAAGACTAATATTGGATTGGGGATCTGACAAAGAGCTGACTTACATTCCTTTATATACAACAAAATGAAATATACAGTATTAATACTGGCTGTACATTTGGTCAGAATATTTTACAAGGAGCGACACTGTCAAAATTCTTATGATGCAGCACGTGGAAGTGGATGGAGGTTGGATTCCTTTCTGAAAGCTGAATGTTTTCACAAGGAGTTTTAAAACTTGCTTTCCACTGCTCAAATGAACAGTTAAGACCTTTTAAAGCAAAAAAAAATCCTTTTTTTTTTTTCTTTTATGGTTGTCAAGACTAGTGTGAACAGAAGAGACAATTAAATGTGTTTGGAATATGCTAATCATTGACCTGGAATAAAACTAAGCCACAGACAGCATGTGCAGTAAATCTCTGCACATTGTCTCTGTTTAAATGGCTTTATAAGATGATGTGTGAGGTCTCTGGTACAAATTCCTGTACCACAGCCTCACCTAGCTGTTCCCTAGCAGGTTACCAACCATTTGTTCCAACTCTAAAGAAAGAGAAAGAATAATCATGACTGTCGCATATTTTTCTACATTGCAATAAAAAATATCTCAGTGTAAGCTGATTTAGCTTATTTATGTGCATATTTTTCAAGGCTGCCAAAGAAAATACTCAATCTTACTGGCAAGAGCTATTTTGGGAATTCAAGAGTGAGTTTTTCTTTGCTTTATTCCAATAGATCTTGTAATATCTGGGTAGCTCAAGTCCCATTGCCTCATTAGACCCCTGAGGTCTAAAGTGAGTTGGTTAATTAATTTTATGTTTTTTCCTCATCCAGAACAAGCTGAGAAGCTAATAAGGTAAGCATGAGACCCAATGAACAACAGAAGTAAACGCCATACAAAATTAACAAATAATTACAGGGAGGTAAAGATCAGTGTAGCTGTAGTAATATTTTGCACAACTGGGTTTGTGTATCCTGTAGCAATGACAAACCTCCTGGAGATGGAAAAGAGCAGGCATGAATCTGTATCCTTCAAAATAATTGTGCTATAATCTTCTCCATGTATTAGATTAGATTTTTTTGTTCTGACACAGTGTGATGCTAACTATAGCAACCTTGATGTGGATGATGGATTTCACTGCTACTGCTTGACTGCAAAGAGACATCAAATCTTCCAGTCCTCAAAGTGGTTTCTTGGGGTGTTCCTTCAAGTTCAATGTCTTACCATTTTCATTCTAGAAGTCATTTTGTGGCAAACAAAAAAAAAAAAAAAAAGGAAGAAAAAAGAGAAAAAAAAAACCCAACCAAAGAAAAAGAAGATGTTGGTTGTGATGGATTTATTTCAGACAGCAGTTTCTGCTGAGTTCACCATGCTTAATGTTCTTCCATTTAGGAAGGAGTTGCTGTCAAGTAAAGCAGAGGAGCTGCTTTCAGTTTGGTTTTTTTTTTTTTTTTTTTGTTTTGTTTTTTTTTAAATACATGCTAACAACATCTCTTTCTTCAGGAAAATGATCCAGTTGCATATTGTCAGAGAGATCTGCCTTGTGCTTAGCACGGACAAGTAGGGTTAATCATCCTCCTCCTCCTCTTTCAGTGGGGCCAGTGGGAGTTTGTCTGGAACCTGGAAACACTCCACAAAGAAGTTGACAATGGACTGGTACAAGTGCTGCTCAAATGCTGCATTGCTGAAGTAATGGCTTTGATCAGGGTAAATCTGCAAAGAAACAGGCAAATACACACCTTTTAGAGCTGAAAGGCTCAGGAGTGACCACCCACACCTGCAGCTTGAGCTGCATCTCCCTGCATCTCCTCAGCATCCCAGGGCTTCTCATGGATGCTCCTGAGCCCAGGGTAATTTGGGCACCACAGTGCTCTGAGTGCAGACCTGCATCTTCCTTCACAAGGAACCTTTCTGGGGTGGAGGATTTTCTGTTTAATTCTGTTCTGAACAGGTTCAGTCTAAGAAGAACCAGCCCACACTTCCCTTGTGAAAACCCAAAAATGTGCAGTTTTGGAGAGAAATGGCATTAGGTTATACTGACTAAAATGAGGGCTTTAAAGCAAATATGTCATCAAGTTTAAAAATTAATAAATATTGGTGGAGAAGTAAATAAATTAAAAAAAAATTGTGAAGCCAGAAATTAAATTGTTTAAACTCAACTAATTTGGGCACCACAGTGCTCTGAGTGCAGACCTGCATCTTCCTTCACAAGGAACCTTTCTGGGATGGAGGATTTTCTGTTTAATTCTGTTCTGAACAGGTTCCGTCTAAGAAGTACCAGCCCACACTTCCCTTGTGAAACCCAAAACCGTGCAGTTTTGGAGAGAAATGGCATTATGTTATACTGACTAAAATGAGGGCTTTAAAACAAAAATGTCATTAAGTTTAAAAATTAATAAATATTGGTGGAGAAGTAAATAAATAGAAAAAAAAATTGTGAAGCCAGAAATTAAATTGTTTAAACTCAACTTTTCAATAAAATGGAGCAGGTAACTTGAAGTAATGCAAGAGGATCATGATGGGTTGTCTAGGCAGGGATGCTAGGGCGGGTTCATTTTGAAAGATTTAATGGCTTAGACAAGGACCATTCAGCAAAATAGAAATATAATTTGGTGGAAAGTGGGGCTGTGCCATTCCCAGTGGGATGTCAGATTTACATGACATATATCTTTGTGACTTTTCTGGTTGGTTTAATTTAAAACCCTTTTTCCCCAAAATTCATCCTGGATTTGTTCTGTTGTTCCCAAAGAAAATCAACATGCAGAAATTCCTTAGGGATATGTCTCTCACAAGCTAATTTACTGTAATTCAAGAATTGTTCTACAACTGTCCAGATCAAAACACTGATGTCACATAAGCATGGGACTAATAGAAACATGTGATATGCTGGTGCTACTTCTACTGCCAGGCTGAGTTTGCAAGTGGTTTTTCAAGCCTTGCTTCATAACAGCAGCTTGAGTTCAAATAGGGAAATAACTGTTCAAAGAGGAAAAAAAAGAAACATATACTGTACCTGCAAGCTGTAATTAGCCTTTGCCCTAATTAGGTGTGTGATAAGGTCTGTAGTATGCTGAAAATGGATTTTTTCTGTAAAAACAGATTGCAAGCATTAAAGAGAAAAATTTAATTAACAAAAATCAAAGCTATCACAAACATATAATGAACTCAAATGATGGGCTAACTTACCATCAGCAGTAGGATGAATGATCAAAAATGTCTGGTCCTTTAGTAATGAGACTCTGTGTGATAATTTGCTGATCTGTGAAGGTAAAGGTTGCAATAAGATTAAAAAACTTGTAAGGAATTAGCAATTTATATGGAAGCAATAGGAGTGCTTATTTCCATTTAATACTTTATCACCAGGATAACAAGCAGACACCAGCACAGCATATTCTCCTGTCTACTTATAAAAATCTAGAGGTAAAATAAACCCCCCCCTGTGCTGGTAGGGCAGTGTCAGCAGCAGGAACATGTCAGAGACCCTCCTCTGTTCTGATAATGTCCAATAAAAGCCTGAACTGTAGAATACATGGAAAATATCAAAGTGAATAAAAAACTCTGATGAAAAGTGTGCCTGGGTGCCTATGCCTAAGAACACTTCATGGGTCTGGAGGGACTTTGGTGTCTTTGGAAGTCAACCTCAATGAGTTCTGGCAGCCTGGGAGATGATCTGATATGAAATTCAAGTGTCCACTGTTGAGAACACCTTTGCTCTCAGCTTTGTCTTTCAGATGCACAAGGGAATATAAATACAAACAATTTCTAAAAGAACAAAAAGCATTTGCACTAATGTAGAGAACATGAGTGCAAAATTTGAGAGACAATGAATTCAGAGTTTAGGTAGCCAGGATAAATCTTCCCTTGTGAGGGCACAGGATGGAATCTGCTTTCTCTGTGAGAACAGTGCCAGACCTTTGCTACCTTCATGTCTTCTGGCTGGAGACAAGGCTTGGAAGCTGAATAGATTTTCTCTAAAATTAATTTTGTTTGTGTGATTATTCTTTATCAGGTTTTGCCTCCAAGTAATTTCAGCCCAGGATCCAACTGTATCCATCACGTGTATTAAACAATATCTGTATTAACTGGTGCTGTACTTCCTTTCCCATGTCCTGCTCAGTTCTGGCACAGGGTTCTGCCTATCTCGAAATATCACAAAGTTTGAGAAAGTCAAGATGAGTTTCACTATAATTTGTTTATTTCAGAGAGAATCAAAGTGGCAAGATCATTGGCAAGAGCTTTCCAGGAGGTTGTGACACTGTGTCCTCTTGGGCACATTTGAGTCACTCAGCTCCTTCAATCTCTAAAACTGTATTTACCCAATTTAGAGAGGCAGACACAAGGGCTAATCAATAAAAACTTCATCCATGATTACTATTAGGACAAGAAAAGCAGTAAGCAGGCTGAAGGACACCTTCAGAGCTTCACTAGTGAGTCCCTCTTGCATAACCTTGCTGCCTCCCCAAAGGAGAACACATGGAGGAAGAGTTCAGACCCAGTTCACATTTTATCAGGGAAATGCAGTGTGCATGCAGTTACCTCATATGCTCTGTTATCAACCCCGTGCAAGCCCAGGTATCTTTCAGAAAAGGCTGAAGCTTGAAGAGAAAAAATGAAAATATCACTTTCAGTCAGGAATACACCGGTGCTTTTGAGTCAAATATGGCAAATGCTAAAAAAACCCTTATTTTCTAACATGGCCTTAATTACAGAGAATGCATTTCTGAAAGTTTTTGAAAATGCACTAAGGATATGTGTGATACCACAGTCTGTTATCATCACCACAGACTTCTGGTCTCTAAATAAAACAGAAAAACCTTTTTTTCTTTTTTCCTTTGTTCATGCAACTGAGATAGAAGAGCTCTATCAGGTTGTGTCCCTTTCTCCTTTCACATGGAGCAAGCTCCCTTTGGTCTCAGGGATAACTGCACAGCTCCTGAAGTCTGGCTGAGCACCACTGAGTTCCCTGGCAGCCCCCTGATTGTCACTGGCACTAAGTGCAAAGGGAACTGCTATCCCTGAGCAAAAGGACCCCCACGTGCAGGGTAGTGCTGTGGTCAGAGGCAGGATGGGCCCGGCAGACTCGACCTCAGCTTGCACGGATGGGTGCTCCAGGCAGGAAGGAAGCATGTTCAAGGCACTGGGGGTGGTTGGTGGCAAAGGCTGGAGGGGCTTAAAGACAATTCTCCTTTATTTAAAAGGACTAAGAAAGTGATTTGATTGCTCTAACTACATGGCTGGTCCCACTGGAGCAGTTAAATTGCTTTAGTGGGGAAAAAAAGGTGTATGGCTACTCCTAAAAAGACACAGAATAAAAAATAAGCATGATCTTGGGAAAGAAAAATGGCAATTGGGAAAGGATAGGGAAGAAACATCCCTTGTGGTCAGAAGGGGGATCTGTGGGCTGAGGAATGGGATTTACCATAGAGTCTGAAGTCTGTCACTGGGGAAAGAGCAGCTCCACAGGTGAACACCTGGTTGTCTTCACCAGCTGGAAGCATGTAAGTGCTGAGGTAACCACCATAATCCTGGAACAGAAGCGGGACAAGGGTGTCACTCATCCTGCTGGGAGGCACAGCTGCTTTTGGGTACAGAAACAGGGCAGCTGAGACCTTGCACCAAATGCTTGGCCATTACAGAGCCTTTAACATCTTGCCCTGGAGAAACAAAAACCAAGGGACATCTCCCTGCTCACGTGGCTGGCACTCTCCTGGAGGCAGGAGGGTTGTGTGCCCAAGAGCTGGCCTTTTTCATCTCACTTTATAGCTGTAGCTCTAACCAGATCTGTTACCTCTCCAAAATGTTTACTTTCTCTTACAGACTTTCTCTACTTAAAATGAGCATCACAATTTCAGTGTCTGCTGCCAGCCTGTTAACAATTCCCTGCAGAGATGCTGCTCTACGTGCAGCTCTCCTCACCCACTCCAAGCCCTTGTCTCTCAAGTAAACAATTTCCACTCGCAGTCCCACTCTCATCTCAAACTGTTTGTACTTTACAGTGGCTGTTTCCCAGCCAGGCACACATGGCAAATCAGCCTGATGATGTTTTCTGAACAATAGTCATGTTTTGCACTTGGAAGTTAATTTAAAAGAAGTCATTGATGAGTACATTGGTGAAATGAAAGCCTCCACCTTTAACAGCACTGGGCAAGGTGCAGTCTATCCCACAAATAAATAATAATAAAAAGTCACCACTGATATATTCAGTAAGTCAGGGTTTAACTCAGCTGTTTAGCCATATCAGGCAGCTGGGACAGCACAGAGGAGCAATGTCACAGCATTACCTTCCCAAACACACCGACTCTCGTTTTATCAATGAAATGCTCCTGCAGCATTGTCCTAGAACATGAGAAAGGAAAAGCAATGGGTTAAAAATATTTTTGTCTTTAAGAGCAAAACCAGTGTGATTTTAATCAGCTTTAAATTAAACAGGCCCCAGAAAAAAAAAAATCATAGAATGGTTTGAGTTGACAGGAACCTTAAAGCTCATCCAGTTCTAACTTCTCTGCCATGGGCAAGGACACCTTCCACTATCCCAGGTTACTCCAAGCCCCATCCAACCTGTCCTTGGACACTTCCAGGGATGGGGCACCCACAGATTTTCTGGGCAGGCTGTGCCAGTTCTCACACCCTCTCACTTAAGAATTTCTTCCCAAAATCTAATCTAAACCTGCCCCTTTTCAGTTTAAAGCCCTTTCCCCTTGACACAGACAATCTAAATCACACCAAGCTGCTTTCACATGGATCTCTCTGATTTAATCTTGCAACCTCTTGTGTTGGATTTGACCAAGCAATGGCAACAAATAACCTGCACTACCTCTGGAAGCCATAATAAGCTATTGCACAGCTATTGCAATACTCTGATAGTGGTTTTAACGTGATTATGTGCAGAATAAATCTAACAATATGACAGGACTTGACATTTAGGGTTTTGCCCTGGTTATTCTGCTTAAAAAGTTTAAGGATTTAAAGACGGATTTTTTCCAAATACCAGGCAAGCAAAAGATTAATGTAGGAACAGATATGCAAGCTTCCTTGTTTGTAGCTGTATGACTCTACAGAGATAAAAATAAATAGGCTTTGAACATGTGATACAGATAAGTGTGCTCTAATTTAGCTCTGTTTAAGGCTTGTTTTTCTCCCTCTGCTCTGGTTGACATGAGCTCCCTCTCACATGCACTTGTGATTGTACAACACCATCTCCCTGCTCTACCCTACAAACCATTAAAGCAGCCAGGACTAATGAGTCTTGGATTAATCATCTGTGGTATTTTTGGGGTTCCCTGGATGGAGGAGGAATTGAGACTCTGACTCCATGTTCTTAGAAGGCTAATTTATTATTTTATGTTACTATATTATATTAAAGAATGCTATACTAAAACTATGCTAAAGAATAGAGAAAGGATAAAGAGAGAAGGCTAAAAGATAATAATGAAAAACTTGTGTCTCTCTCCAGAGCCCCAACGCAGCTGGATGGTGATTGGTTATTAAGTAAAAACAATTCACATGAAACCAAAGAAACATTGTTGGTAAACAATGTCTAACCCACATTCCAAAGCAGCAAAACACAGGAGGAACAAATGAGATAATATTGTTTTCCTTTTTCTCTGAGGCTTCCCAGGAGAAGAATCCTGGGCAAGGAGATTTTTCCAGAAAACATAACGGTAACAATTATCCCAATGAATTCCTTCAATAACAGTGCCATTCACCTGACAGCTTCCAGCTGATCCTTCTCTTCCAGAAGGCCCAGCCTCCTCCTGACCTCGTGCAGCAGCTTGGCGCCCTGGAAGCCGCTGCCGCGCCCGTCGAACTTGAGCACGATGGCGCTGTGGGAGCTGACCATGACGCTCTCCCACGTCACCTCAAACCTCTCCGTGACGATCTGGCTGCCAGGTGTGCCATCCCTGGAACAGAAATGGGCATCAAGGAAAGGTAACAGCACCCAACACCCTCCCCAGGGCTGGGGGATTGCCGTGGATGGGCACCCAGAGCCCCATGGGGCAGGCTGAGGTGACACAGGTTTCTGGAAAGGGACACCAGTCTCCTCAAGGATGGTGTTATAGATGGATAATGAGATGATTGGCTCTTGCAGTTAGAAGATAACTATTTTGTGAATATTAAGAAAAGCTTCAGTGATGTGTAGTTGTTATAAAATCAAACAAGGCCAGACTTCAAGAAGAAAAAGGCTCTTGTTTATTAGAACCAACTATAGGGCACGGAGAGTTTGAGATAAGCTCAACTCCCACGCAACAAGCCAAAAATAACAACGCGTCCCAAACACGCTGGGCTCTCCCCCAAAACGTAAGTTCCTCAGAAAGAGAAAAACCCCAAACTCAACCAAAACCCTCATTTTTGTAACCCCTCTCAGGTCCAGGATTGGTGGGTTTTGGATCTATGTGTTGATTGGTTGGTTTCTGGTGTTCTCATTGGATATTCCTTCGATATTGATATTCCTTCTGGACCAATCATTTTCTTGGGGCATCAAATGATTGGTCAAGTCCCCTGTCCAACCATCACCTGCCCCCTTCGACCATCGCCCCCACCAAACCCTGGACCTCCCCTCCCCAGGACCCACAACAAATATTCATCAACCCACCCCAAAACAACAATTCTCACCTCAGCCCTAATTTAACACAAATTGAACACCATTTATAACATAGTTATGTTATTGTAGTTTAGATGTCCTCTGTTCTCCCTGTAGTTCCCTTTTCCCCCTGTATTGTTGCCATCAGACAGCCTGGGCTGTCCAGGACAGGTACAAAGAAGGCTGCACGTGTGTCCCTTACCTGGGGCAGTGGGGAATGGAAAAGCTTGGTGCTTAGGAGGTGAGGCATGGCAACACCTGACCTCCAATCCAGTGACAAGAAAGCAGTTTCCACTGATAAATGGCAAAGAAGAGCTGACTGACAGACCTTGGGAGGGGCCAGGGCTGGCTGATGCAACCCCCAGGGGTATAAAAGCCTGAGCATCCATCTTGAAGATGAACTGGCCGCTTGGTATCCAAGAGGGCAGTTCCCAGCACTGCAGATTTTTCCTTATGTAGTCCTTTGTTGTATTTTTGTTAAGGTTTAATAAACCTTTTTAAATTTTCAAAGTGAGCAGTTGTCTCTCACAATGGTGTGCAGGAGGATGATTGTGTGGGGTGGGTTTTGAGGCTGGGTGGAAGCTGCGGGTTGGTTTCTGCCTCCCTCTGTGCACAGCAGCCCCTAAGCTGTGAGGTTAAAACCCTAAGGTTCAAACCCTAAGGTTTGAACCACACCTGCAAGCACATCTCTAGCTGGTCAGGATTCCCCCTGTGAGTAACCAGGTATCAGTTGAGTTTTCCCTTTTTTATGCCTGCTCTAATGTATATTTGTTTTCTACATTCCCCAAAGCTCTTTTTTAATTTCGGCTGAAGTGGTTCCGTCATCACTGCCTCACACAACTACAGAGGGAAAGGACTCTTCTGAAGTTATAAAAACCAGCTTAATAATGCCCAATTTGGCTCAAAATTGAGAAGTGGAAAGGAGTGGGCAAGGCATCCTCTTCATCTTTCTGCTTAGGATCTGATCCTGTACAGGGGAACTGTCTTGAGAAATACAGACCCTACTTCAGCCAGGCAGCTCAGAAAAACAAGGGATGATGATGATGATGATGACTTTAAGCAATAATTTTAGGCTGAGATTACTGTAGAGCCACTGGAATTTTTATCCTTTTTTTTGGTCATTTTTGGTGTTCTCAGAGACATCAGGCAGTTCCCTGCAGGACTTCAATGCACATGTGTCTCCAGTAATTTGTATTTATCCAAGTGAGACCCTGGCCCACCCAGCTCCAGGGGCAACCCAATCAAGTGCTGGGTGCTTGATGAGAGCCAATCTTCCTCCAGCACTTTGGAAATGAAGCAGGTTTTCTCTGCAGTAATTCCATGATGTAGTGACACGCTCCCTGCAGTGGCTTTGTCCTCCATGGAGAGTTGTGCAGGGTGGCACAGGCATTCACCAGGCATTCATCCCTCCTGCATGAGGCTTTTCTCTCATGGGGTGTTCCCTGGCAGGCAGCAAATGATGCACTGGGATGCAGCCAGGGCCAAACGGGTTCTTCCAAGGTCAGTGAATTCCCTCCCACAGTTTCTTTCCAAATTGCCAAAAAAACCCCACTCAGTAATGTGTATTATTGTTTCTAAATGTTACATAAAGAAATACCCATCTGCTCTGCCTGCCAGGAGGAAAACCTACCTATTTAATAGAAATGCTAACTTTGTGGCGATATTCAAAGGTTTCCAGCTCTCTCTTTACTGTCACTTCAGCGAACACCAGCACTTAAAAGGGAATGATTTCTGCATGAGGGCACCTAAAATTTAAGCTCTAGTAAGGCTGACTGAATTCCACTCTAAAATTTCCTGTTAATCACAAGGTGGGTGCCCTAAGCACTGGGACAGCAAGCCAAAATTCATCTTGCATTCCTCCTCCTCCCATTGATGCCCCACAAGTGATTGAAGTGTGCATGAAACACCCTCACAAAATCCCAAATTTGCTCTGCAGGATTTCAACAGGGTGCCCTCCTGAGAGCTGAAAACCTTGGCTCAAACATGGGAAAGAAGGAATGTACATCTGGCCTCTCCCAGCTGTGAAGTGAGATGGGGTAGGAACCAGTGTGCTGGACTCTGGCGTTCCTTGTACAAAACATATCTTAAAGGTTTCTGATCATGGCCAAGGTTTGCAAGCTGCCCTGATAATGTGAGCAGAAAGAAAGGACAAGAGAGAACTTACACAACCAAAAGCAAGGGGTAGTGAGCGGTGTCGGCAAAGGTTGCTGGCTTTAAGATCTGCATTGGCAATCCTAAGCAAAAAAAAAGAACAATTAACAAGATATCTTCGATATGGCAATGCTGACATGATTCCAAAAGATTTTTCTGGTGTTTTGGCCACAGATAAGTAGGAGCAAAATGGCATTTCTTCAGAGGCTGTGGAGAATATCACCTTAGAAACACAGATGTTGCCAAAGAAAAGACCCATATTGTGATAGCTGAGGTGACAAGAAATGTAAATGGGGGGTACAGTGCAAGCTGCTCAGTCATGCATCACTTTTACAGCGTTCAATTAACATCTGTCAATAGCTACAATTTTCCTTTTTTGGCAGCTGGATGAGTGATGCAGACAGAAATCAATATTTCAGGGCAGCAGAGAGGGAGGAAAATTGGCAATGAAAATGGTAATTTAAAACCCAATTAAGTATGGTGGCTGGGGGAGAAATAGAATTATTTTGCTATAATGGTGTGAGGACAGAGGGAGAAACAAGTATTTGAATCCTAACTTCCAAAGGGTTAAATTTTGTTTAAAATGGGAGCCAAAGGTGCTGAAGCCCAAGTTACACTGGTGCAGAACCAATGTAAAGGAGGGCTGTGATCACTAAAGCTTCTTTTAACTGAATGTCATTTCTGTGGCTTTGTATCAATAGCCAAAATTGCCTCCATAAAAACAATCTCAGCATCAACAGCGGCACATTTATTTTTGAAACGTTAACTACAATCTAGATTAGCAAAAGCCCAGCAATTAAATCGGTGTTAGGAGCATTTTCAGTAGATTAATACACAGATTAGCAGCACGGTTTAAGTGGCTTGCTTTGCAATCGTTGCCTGACACTCTGCCTAATTAGTTATTCCATCTGAATGCTAATAGCTGCAAATTGGATCAATGGCCCAGGGACAGCCAAAAAGGCCATGGATTGACTTTAAATATTACAAAGTGCTACGTGCAGTGTTCCCCAGGCTGCTCAGCCCAAAGCTTTGGAAACACAGGGATGGCACAGCAGAATGGCCAGTTTGTATTTATTATATATATACACACAAGTATATTTTTGGTTAAATGAGAAGAATTGCAATGAGGCCGGTATTTAAAAAATTTAGTATCAAGCTGAGTTATCCTGAATAAACTTCCAGTCTCACATGAGCTGGCTCATGGGGGAAATATGGGTTCTTTATCCATCCTTTCCTGTCCATAAAACTTGGAAGTGCATGTCTGTTCCTGTTATTTTATGCACTGGTTTATGTTCCTTATGCCCATGTGACAAACAGAACACTTTAGGGCCATTGTTACCCTTTTCAAATGGCAGCCATCTCTCAGCCTTTGTTTCACATTTTAAAACTTCTGGAAATGGCTGCAATCAGTAACCTGCCCCCAGCACAGCTTGCTGCTTTCACTTCACTCCTCTGGCCTGAGAAATGCACTCCTTCCTGGCATGGGAAACATTATGGGCCACACTTTGAACCCAGAGTCTTTGGGGTTTTGTTCTAGAGTTGCCACCATACATGCAGGCTGGGATTTGGGGGAGTCTTTGTGCATCTCTGAGTATGTGGATTTTCCCCATATGGGGATAAGGTATCTGCTTACAGCCAGGGGAGATGGTTTTGGTAGGTTGTTTCAGGTACAACTACAGAGACAGGCTGACCCTTTGGCTGTTTGCCACCATTGCCACCAGGCTTTTCTCTCCCTCTTTGGGATATATATATATATATATATATATATATATATATATATATATATATGTATATGGGGAATGATTATACAAGTGGTAGAAATAGCACACCAGCTGCAGGTGCAAACTGCTGTAAGTGTTTGCTTTCTTTACTCCAGGTGAAATTTCCTTTGTCTTTCCTCATAAAGAGTTTTTTTTTTGGTTTTTCCTTTTTTTTTTTTTTTTAAATTTTTTTAAACCCTCCCAAGTCATGGCTTTTTTGAAGAATCCTGAGTGACTCCAAAGGATGCAAGAGTCATCTTCATTCACTGCAGCTCAGATTGTGCACTGAGAGGCAGCCATGGCTGTAGGCAGCAAGCACACACATTATCCTACTCCAAACCCATTTCAAATGACACACACACACCCAGGGCAAAAGCTTCCAACAATGGGGCACCCCACCATGTCATTTCCTAGAGTGGCCTTTTCTTCACAGAGGAAGTTTTAAGAGGAAAAAACAAAATCCAACCCTATCATTTTGCCTTTCTTCAGCTGAGATCTCATCAAATTCTGCCTCTGTAATAACCTCCTTATGTAGCACATTCCAGGAGAGTGCTTTGCAAACTGTGTGAGTTTATTGAGAGTCAAAGTCATTTTTCCTCCTGCCAGTCTAGTCAGGATGGCTGTATCATTTCACAGCTACAGCAGTGAAAGAGAAAAATAAGTGAGAAGAAAGGTGCTACTTACTGTAATCATCTATCTTGATTTCCATGTATTCTACCTTAGGCATTTGCCTGTCATTTACAGCCAGCTGCACATTTTCATTTACCTCCAGCTCAAAAATTTCTGAAAGAAGAACAGGACAAGATCACAAAAACTTTTGGCACAGTTTGTGAAAATGCATTTTAACATTTTATAGTCACCTTGATATATACAAAACAAGTTTCCTTACAAATGGATTTCCTTCTAGTCCTCACAGAAGTCTAATTCACTTAAATCTTTGAAACCCCTTCCAAGTTCTGCATTGGCAAAGAGCTATAGTCCTTAAATCAGAGACATTCAGCTGATTTGCAGGAGGTGGGAAGGTGACCTGGGACACCACCATGGGTCCCAGTCAGACATCCCCCCAGCATGCCAAGATAGATCTCAAGTGAAGAGGTCCTCAAGGCTCTGTCCCAATTATAGATAATAACTAGGAAGGGGAGGAGACTATGGAGGGCTTCAGCCAAAGTTGTGCTGCTGTGCAAGAAAAAATCCATGGGAGGGAAAGCCATGGAGACAGGAGAGTGGAGAAAGCCCATACAAACCTGTAATATCAGGTTTTGCAGCAGTCTTGACTTTTGGAGTGTTTCAAAATTATTCATTTTGCTTGTGTGTCTGACCCAAGGACTGTCTGGATCACAAATAGAGGATTCCTTCTTCCTTCCTGAGATTTAACTTCTATCCCCTCATCCTGGCCATGTGCTCTACCTGCTGAACCTCTTCTAGAAAAAGCAGCTTGCTCCAGCAGCAGAAAGAATAAATCCTTCCCAGCTGGCAGGGAAAGGGCTCCTCTGTAGGGGACACCTCAGGCTGGGTGTCTTACGTGGTGGGAAATGTCTCCATGTGTGGGCAAAGCTCCTGAGCCCATGGAGGGGGGATTCAAGGGCTGGGCTGAGGGAATCCTGGTCTAGGGAGTGCTCATGCCCTGGCATCAGTCTGGGTGTGAACCAGGGGGATCCAGGGCATTGTCTCTGCCACATGAACCCAAGGAGGGTGTGGGATTTCACCTCCCATTGTGTGTGTCACTGACTGTAACTTCCCTTTTGAGACACACTGATGAATTTATATGTAACCCCAGCTCCTCAAATAACAATTCTGGTACCTGACCATCCTGCTCTCACTGCCCATCTCTGCTGGGCAGCCAGACAAAACCTTGCCCTTCCCAGTTAATATATTTCAGAGATCTTTCAGCAGTAGTTATTGGTTCAGTGACTATTCACCCTGCTTCTGCAAAGCCTGGCCCTTTATCAAAGACACAGCTCCCACAAAAGTGGCAGAGCAACAGCCTATTACGTTTAGTTAAATATTAAGATTCTCATTTAATTATGGCACACACAAGTAGCTTTATCAGCAGAAAGGGGCTTGCCACGTAGGGGAATTTAGTCAAGCCCTTTTATTTGTTCATATAATTGCCTTCACAGAAAGCCAGGAAGACTGTGGAGGAAATAAAAAGATTGGCATATCTCCTAAAGGACTTTCCTTTTTGCTTTAGGACCACAGGGAGCTCGAGTCTGTGGAGTACAAATGGTCATTGCTTAATTAAATGTAAGCATTCTCTAATATTCAGTGCAACTCACTATTATCAGATTATTGCAGAATACAGAGGCAGACTCCCTTTTATAGAGTAATGGGCTCATATTAAATAAGTAAATTCAGTAACATGCAACTGTCAGTTGCCCTTTATTCAAAAGCAAAAGAATGAAGGGGGAAAAAAGAAAAGAACTAGGGGGAATGGTAATTGTACGCAGAAAATCATGAATTTCAGTAGAGGATGTGTTCTGCACATGAGTAGACTGAGTTCTCTGTGTAATAGATGCTACCCATATGCATCTGTCAAAGTTAAACTAGTCCTGGTGTGTTTTGTTTTAGTTTTTAAAGCCCTCCATTTACTGTTTCTGTTTTATATTGTCTGTCATTTTATTCACCTAAAAGTATTTTATAAAACTGTACAGGAGGGTGTAACACCACTCATGAGAGCACTATCCCATGCTGGTATAGCCACTCAGACACCTCCATGTCTATGGTAAAATTCAGGTGTTTTATTTAAAGTGGAGGAGAAAGAAAGTGACTTTGGAACTGCATGTCAGGGTGAAGAAGCTCTCCTGGCTGAAGGGCCTTGTGGAAATCAGCTGGGCTGCTCTGGGTTACCCTTGGGGAGGGCACTGCCAAACTCAGGCTCTGCTGGGACGAAGAAGGACCTGACCTTGTGCCAAAAGCCTTTCCTGTGACACTCCCTGCCTTCAGTGGGAAATGAAGCAGGTCAGCATTTCACAGTAAATCTTTAGTATATGAAACCAAATTTCTTGGTTTGCTCACTCTCTTTTTTTTTTTTCTTCTTTTGAGACAAGAGCAGTGAGTTGCTGTAAATCCAGATAAGTAAAACTTTTACTTGATAAACTGGTATTGACTGTGTGTAAAACAGATAGAAATAGAATAAAGGTATTGCTTTATACTTGGATCATATCAGGGCCTGAAGTCCCTGACTGCAGTTAAGGCTGGGATAAATTCTTTGTTAAAATGAAGATGATGATGTTTTCCCATCCAAATGATGGGAACAGATAAATCTTGATTTCATGTGGGACTCAGTGCCACACTCTGCCAGGGTGGAACCCCAGAAGCTCCATGGCTTTTTAGACTCTACATTGCCAGTCTGATAATGACTACAGAGAATCCCAAATGTTTTGAGGGAAGAAACCTGTTTGTGGAATGATTCCAGCTTTGCACTGATGTAGATGCAAATCATTAGCATGACAAAGCTTTACCAAACAATGAGTGCTACAATCTCCATGGACAGATCTGGGAACCAGGCAGAGGCACCACTTGTGGGGCTCCCTCCTCTGCATTATCTCTGGTAATTCATATCAGAGTGATTTTATTAAAACCACAGATTAGGCTAAATATTTCTTACATTTATCTCATCTTATTTCTTATATATGAGATGCAAAACAAAATCAAGACTAACAAAAAAGAGAGATTTGAATTATGCATTTTTTTGAGACAGGGGATAACAAACATGCTCCAACCAGTCTTTTCACCCCAAACAGCAGCTGTTGTGATGGCACTACAACAGCTCTGCAAGTCCCTCTGCCTTGCAGAAAACTTGCATTTAGGCAGAGTGTGGGGTCCCCAGGAGTGCAAGTTTAGCAAAGAGCAGCTACATCTCAATGTCCTGCCTGGCTGCTTTTCTCTGAAGAGTTGCAAAGCTCAAGCCCATTCTTACTCTGTGCATCTGTTGTGTTGTGAACAGTCACCATCGGGACACGGGGACCTTGGAAAGGAGAAGAAAAGAACTTGGTTAAATTTCTGTCAAAACACACACACACACACACACACACGTGAACCTGGGTTTGAATTCCATGGAGCTCAAGGCTCTTGAGACTCGCTTTTCATGCAAGAGTAATCTAAAAAGCAAATCACACTGGTGTTAGAAAGAGTTTATGACTAGATGACAGTCCTGTAGACTCAAAGACATGTGAGGTTTCAAAGCTCTTTCCCAACAGACCACTAAATGCATCTTTCCCTAATTTGTAAACATTATAATTAGCACAAACACAATTAAATCACTTGCCTTTAAAATTATTCTAATGACACCCAAACATCACAGCACAAAGCATTTACATTTTGTATGCTATGGATAAATATTGCTGTTTTGCATATTATTTTCTCTTAATGAATTAAACACCAGCTTGGTTCTCGCACTAAAAAGGGACACATATTCTGTCTTAAAATGCAGCATTTGGGTATTGAAACCAGAGAGTGTTGTACAAAGAGGATTATCATTACTATGCAATGTACATGAGTGAACCACACAATTCACTGCCACAGGATGCTGCAGCACTCAGGATGCCACAATTTTAACCAGAGGATGCTGCAGGGTGCTTTAGTCCTTAGCACAGTGATCTAGGCTCATCTTCTTGTTCAGAAAGCCATCAAGTGGCTGATTGATAGAAAAATGGGATGGTACATGAGATCAAACTCATATTATAGTTGTCAGATTCTCTTTTTTTTTTCAGTTGCCATCTGGTGACTGCTCTTGGAGACAGGACACTGGGGCAAGGTGGGCAGACCCAGGACAGCCACTCACATGTTGCTCCCATATCTGTTTGCATATTTTTCCTTCAGCCTGACAATACTGCTCAGGATGGTGAAAGTGGCCTTGCAGTGATGAAATGGTGAATTCTTCACCTCAGAGACAGTGGATATCTCACTTTCCTTCCCTTTCCCCACAATGTAACGTGGTCCAACAGCAGCAGGTGTGAGCAGCTGGGGGGAAGTGTGTGCCCAGCAGAGATCCCAGCAGCGGGGCCAGGAGGCTCCCAGGTCGTGTGTGTGGGAAGATCCCAGAACCAGAGACCCATGGAATCATCTAGGTTGGAAAACACCTCTAAGATGACTGAGTCCAACCATGAACCCAGCACTGCCAAGCCCACTAAACCATGTCCCTCAGTGCCACGTTTACTCATCTTTTAAATACCTCCAGGAGTGGTGGCTCCATCACTTCCCTGGCCAGCCTGTTCTGATGCTTGGGAAACCTTTTGGAGAAAAGAATTTTCCTAATATTCAATCTAAACCTCCCCTGGTGAAACTTGAGGCCAATTCCTCTGCCCTATCACTTGTTTCTTGGGAGGAGAGATCAACCCCACCTGGCTGCACCCTCCTTTAGGGAGGTTGTAGAGAGTGATAAGATCTCCCTGAGTTTCTTCTTCTCCTAAACACCCCCAGCTCCCTCAGCTGCTCCTCACAGAGGACCTGTGCTCCAGACCCTTCCCCACCTCTGCTGCCCTTCCCTGGACAGGTTCCAGCACCTCAATGTCTTTCTTGTGAGGGACCCAAAGCTGAACACTGAATATCAAAAACCCCAATGTTCTTTAAGCTTCAAAAGTAAGACAGCTTTAAGAGACTGACATTCCCTGAGATTTTAACCCTTTTAAGTTGCCTTCTGAAGCCATTCAACCTAAAAATCCTAAATCCTGTGGGATCATCACTTGTGCAATGGCAATGTGTGTAGGGCTGGCTGAGAACATTTCCCTGAAATGCTTTAACTGGGAGTGAGCACAGAAATGGCAACAAAAGCAGGTTCCTGTGAGCCATTCACACTGGTTTGGTGCATGAAATAAGTTCTTGAGAGCAAGAAAAGCACTTTAAGGTGCTGTAATTGTGTCAGTGGTTTTCCCTGTGCTGCCAAGAACCCACATCCCATTGCAGGCAGAGTGTTACAACCAGACCTTACCTATACAGAGAAAAGGCAGAAAATTATTTTATTTATAATTAAGCTGACTACTATGGCAACCTGATTTTATTTCCTTGGAATCAAGAATCTCCTCCTGTGACAATCCAATTCTTTTGTTAGCATCAATTTTTAGAATGCAGGAAGGTGAATTATAATGCACTAAGGAAAACAGCTTTGCTCACCAGGATTTAGCTGAATTTACCTTTCTCCTACTGATATACATTGATATGCTGACCATATTTATTTATAAATCTGCCCTGCTTTTTCCCTGCAGTCCCAGAAGCCAGACTGCTGGAAAAGCAGTGAAACCTAATAAACATGGGTGTGATAAAATCATCACTGAAAAGAAAAGGAATCCTCCCAAATGGCTTCAGTTGGAGCTAGAGCAGTCCTTTAATTAACACCAAAATGCCAACAAAAAGAAAGGGATAAAGAGAGAAATACAATGCATATAATCCTTTTATTTTCTTATATTTTTTTCCATTCTTTTTTGGTGTTGGCACTGAAAAAGCTGTGAGAAACTATTAAATAAAGAGAAATTCTAGTGTGTAGTTTAGGAAGTTACATGTATTATATATTGTGTTAGTCTCTCTACTAACTACTGCTACTGTTACTGTGCCATCTCCCCAAATCAATGTTCTTAAGCAAAGTCCTCTATAAAGATATTCAGTTTGAGGTAATATGAAATTTAAAAAAAGTAATTAAAAATTAACAAGTCTCCTTGAAAAAGCAGATTTTTTACTTGCTTAATTTTTATTTTTTAACAAACAAGGAAAAATAATAAAGACAGACAACTACAGAGTAGAATCATCTCTGTGAAAAGGATTACTCTTAATATTAAATATTCTCAGTGATAACACTCCAGCTAGAGAATGCACTTCACTTGTGAGCAGGCTGAAAGTCATCAAGAAGAAAAAGTCAATTTTTTAGGAATGACATAAATTGCTTATTTCAGTGCCAGTTTTTAAAGTAAAACAACCCAGTTACATGCTAGACTGTGTCTTTTAATGCACGCACATCAGAAGTCTTTCAAGACTCACAAGTTGAGTGCCTAATGCCTGACAGGGACAGAAAGAATTCCTTGAAAGGAGAATTGTACATTCATTAACTGCCTCCCCAGCTTTATTTTTAAACCCGTGTTGGTGTGACAGTCCCATTACACATGCCATCTGCTAAATGCCATCCACTGTCATGTGTGGATCTGAGAGGGAAACCTGATTTGTTCACTGAGCTGCTGGGAGCTGACAGAAGCAGGGTGGGGACATCCCCTGCTCTGCCTCCTTCCTCCAGTGCCCATCCAAAGGGGCTTTGATGGGGACTCCTGAGCCCCAGCACATTCTGCTCTTTAACCTGCACTGATGATCCATCCCCCTGTGTGCACCTGCCCTCCTCAGGAACCTTGTGACTGCTCTGCCTCTTGCTCACAGAGATCCTGAGAGCATGGCAGTGGTGGGGTCCTTGAAGGGTAAAACTCACTTGTGCTCCTTGAAGGATAAAACACAAAGTTGTCCCTCCACTTAAAAAAAGTAAAGCAGATACTGAGCTGTCAGGACCCAGGACGGCCAGGACCCCTGCCAGGGGTCTCAGAGACCCTGGCACAGAGCCCAAGATGCCCCTGTGGTTTTGATTATGACCTGTGGAGCAAATGACCAACCTTAGATGAAGATCAGCAAGCCACAACAGTTTAGGTAGAATAATAGTGAAGTTATCAGGGGGTGGAAAAATAGATTTTGGGGTTTCTGGTATGGGGGTTCAGGGGGCAAGATGGAGGGATCTGGGTGTGTCCTGCCTTTCTCCTTCTTCTTCTTGGCCTTCATCTTCTGGGTGATGTTGGCACTTTTAGATTGGTTTAGAGTAGCAGCTCACTGTCTAACATAGGTGATAGGTATTGGGAAGTGATTGTAACCATTGTACAGGTAGTTTTTAGTATAAAGACATAACACTGCCCCAGGGGCAGGCAGAGTGCCTGGAACTGTCCTGCTCAGTGGACCTCGGCAGGACAGGAGAAAATTTTTTATAGATAAGATGCAATAAACAACCTTGAGACTGAGAAATGAAGAGCCCTGACTCCTTCTTCAAGCGCCAGGCTGAGAAAAGAGACTTTCTAACATTTCTTGGGGTCAGTCTGACAAGCTACAGATCCCAACACTGAGCTGCTTTGCCCTGATTTGCAAAGGTAAGAGAGACCCAGCTCACACCTTGTAACCTCATGACTGTTCCCAAAATCAGGGGCAGGCCACTTTCTGCATGACATGGTGAAGATGATGCTGCTGGATTTCTTGCCCCAGAGGGGTGGCTACAAGCAGGGCTGTGACACTCCCCAAGGTGTGGGACCTGGCACTGATGTTCCCTGCCACCTCCACCAGAATTTTTAGAGGTGGCACCACACAGGCTCCTGTTATCCCTCTCTGCATCCCTGTGTGAGTGGGATGGGCTGTGCTCGAATGCCATTGCAGGCTCCACTCCCCTCTCCTGCCTCCAGCATTGTACCAGCCAGCTCCAGCATCCTGACAGAAGTGGGAATGATGTTTCTTTATTGATAGCTTAAGAGAAAGGAGCAAAACTATTGACAGAACTTCTGTGTATATCACACTCTGTACATCAGAGATAGCTGCATGGTTAATAATGCTGCACAAGTCTCTAGTTACATCAATTAGATTTTCAATTAATGCAGATGAAAGTCTGGGTTTATCATAAGGCCTTTGACTTTAAAACCATTACTGTAATTATCCATGCAAGAAGTAAATTGAGCTATATTGCTGTAATGACAACAGGCAAATTTATCATCCAGGAAGTGCTGCCCATCATGATCTGAATGGGCACAGAAACTCAGTGCCTCAGTAATTTGATAACAAAAAGCACTGGCCATGGTTTTTGATCAATTTTTAAGCATCTTTTATTATTATTTCTAAGAGGGTCTTGCTTAAACATGAACAGAAAGAAGCAACTCTAGATGTAAGGTAAGGTATAGATTTCTAAATTAAAAATGGAAAATCATTTTACAACCTTGAAGAAAATATTTACCAGACACTTGTTTT